CTCACTCAGGTAGTAACAGCTAAATAGTTAAATCATCAAAGGGGAATGAACCTCAATAGTTGACTAACTTCTACATTCTATTTTTAACTTTATTCTCTTTTTAACCTCCTTAAATCTAACTGGCAACACTAGTTCTTAGGATTGGCTAGGGTCAAAATGGGAGGTAATCTATAAAAACCCTCACAAGACTTTTTTTTAGTCTATACCAGGCCAACTTTATACAGCACATTTCAAATGCTTCTGGGAGAAAGTAAACAAAATTCTGAGAGGTACTAGAACCAATAAGAAGACAAGAGTTTAGAAAAAAGGACTAGGAAAAACAGAGTTTCAAGAATTTTTGTAAAATTGAAGAATTTATAAACATAAGTTATATTTATGTTTAATAAATATTAAAAAAGGAGTGGATTTTGATACTACATTGAAAGAAATTACATTATCATGTCAAATTGGTGGAAAAAGAAATGGGCTGTATAATTGTGTTGAAACACATGACTAACCACATGGAAAAGGTATAGATTATAACTTCAGATCGGAATCAAAACAAGTTATATAGAATAAAGTGTTTAAAACAAAAAATGAAACTAGAAATGTACAAAGAAAGTCATTCACAATGGCCTTAAAGTTAGAATTATGTAGCAAAAATTGATAGGCTCATATATACTTAAAATATACACAGGGTAGACATAAATTCTGTATGCAATTTAAAATAGTTTAACATAGTAAATTACACATGAACTTTAAAAATATGTTTGCCTTTACATTCTCAATCTCTATTGTCAAAAATACCAATTATGTGTTGTGAAAATAGTTGTAATATATATGACAAAGGGTTGATAATGTTAACTTTAAAAGACATTTTTTAAATCAATGAAAAACATTGACAACCCCAATATAAGAATAGAATAAGGTTATAAATACATAGCTCACAGGAGGGGAATTACAGAGGCCACTAAGCGTAAAAAGAATTTTCAACCTTATCAGTAACTAAAGAGAAGAACATTAAGGCCATTAAGGTCGTGTTTTGGACCTATCACCATGGCAAAAATTGGTCCTTACTTTCTGAAGGAGAGTTTGTCAATATACACAAGTCTTTAAATTGCACATATGCTGCTGTGGTTTGAATGTTTGTTAACTTGAAAATTCATGTTGAAACTTATTCCTCAATGTGTTAGGCATGGTGGTATACACCTGTAATCCCAGCTACCCAATGGAGAGGGAAAGCAGAAGGATTGCTTGAGCCTAAGAGTTAGAGACCAGCCTGGGCAATATAGCAAGACCCTAACTCAAAAAAAGGGGGGGGGGAGAAATTTAATCCTCAATATAACAGTGTTTAAGAGGCATAACCTTTAGGAAAGCCCTCCTGAATGGGGCCAGGTGCCTTTATGGAAGGGCTTGATGGAAGTTATTTTCCTCTTTTTTGCCTTTCCCTTCTATTCTCCATGTGAGGACATAGCCTTTCTCTCCTCCTGAGGATGCAGCAACAAGACATCATCTTGGAACCAGAGACCTGGCTCTCACCAGGCATCATACCTATTGGTGCTTTGATCTTGGATGTCTTAGCCATCAAGACTTTAACAAATAAATTTTTGGTTTTTTATAAATTACCTAATTTAGGGTATTCTATTACAGCAGCACAAATGGACACATCCCAATTTATCCAGAAATTTTACTTTGGAGAATTTATTCTCAAAAAATTATATCACAGATTTATGTACAAGGACAGTCATCATACTACTATTTAAACTAGAGAAAACAAATCATTTGTCTGAGAGAGATTAAGAAACATATTTGTTAGCTAGAATACTAAAGTCTCTGAAAATCAAATTATACAATATATATTGACTTGATATATATACATATACATGTACATTTATACTCATGGGGTATATATTTATACACAGTGTTTTTATACATACAATTATTTTAAATATATCAAAAATATAAATGTTAACAGCATGGCATTAAAGAAATTTTTCCGTATTTTGTGAGTATACATGTGATTTAGTTTTCTGAATTCACTCATGTTACTCCTATAATTAAAGACCAAGCAGTCAACTTTTTGGCAGGAAAGTGTCAGGTAAAGACAAATAACCATAATGGTTGTAGGATAATTTAATCTCCCACCTTACATGCATTCTTTTAATAAAAACTAGGAATTTGGGCAAAAGCAGTTTTATGAAGTATTGTAAGCCTTGTCAGAAGCTTTAGCTGCCTTGGATAAGCAGGCAAACCAGAAACTGCAGAACAGGAAAAACTTTCTGCGTGGAACTCTGATTGCACTATTGTTCACATAAGCAGATTGGGTTAATAGCCCTCTGTGCAGGGGAACAATTCCAAGGTTATGTGTGTGATGAATCATTTTTCACCACGTCTCACAGAGGGTGGCTTCCAAGACTGCAAGAAAAACAGAACTGTTAAGCTTAATTTCCTATAACTAAATTAAGTGCTAGTAAGAATAAATCACCCCCTTGCTCCATCTATTGAACTTTATAGAAATAAAAGTTTAGAATGCATGGTTGCTTAAGATATAATGTAGTTGTTTTTAAGTAGCTATGTTAGTTTTTTAGATTTGGTGTTTTCATTTAAGGTTGGAATCAAAATAGAGAATGTTAATTATAGATTATTGATTAATGTGGTGTATGTGACTTACTGATTATAAAAAGCTTTTGGAAATAAAGATGATTGCTACTTGCCATCCCATGAGCAGTAGTCTGTTTCAAGCTTTCATACTATTTTAGGCACGGACTTACACCTGGGGCGAGGCTCTCTCCATTCTCTTACAGAAATTTCCACCAACAATGGTTATTATCAAAAATATAAAAACAGCAATGATATGAGTTGCTAGCAGAGCAGCTATTGTAGGAAAATGCTTTAGGCTTACAAAGAAGGGAGAGAGAGGATTTAAGTATTGCCATTTAAAGTGGATTTCAAACAGTGGGGCTCAAAAGGGTAGGGTGCCGGTTCCATATGCCTGTGGCTCAAAAGGGTAGGGTGCTGGCCCCATGTGCCTGTGGCTCAAAAGGGTAGGGTGCTGGCCCCATATGCCAGAGGTGGCAGGTTCAAACCCAGCGCCGGCCAAAAAAATAAAACAGAATCAAATGGAGCAAAAGCTCTCTGCTGACTGAGAAGAACCCCACGCCCTCTTCTAAGAGGAAAAAATTCACTTCCTAGGTTTTAGAGTAACTGACTGCTTGTGCTTTGTGAAAGGAGGTATGCCTTAGGTAGATGCAGAAAGCTAGGAACGCCTAGGCTGAGTGGGAGAAGAGGTAAGATGTGCAGTGTAACAGACATGGAGAAGGCTGGCTGGCAGGGGGTATCTGGAAAAAGAAAGTGTAACTCAGACAAGAGTAAGAGAGAAAAACTGCTTCTCTTACTTCCTCCTTCAGTCTCAATTCAGAAACCTCCCCACCCCGGGGTTCTTCCTCTTCTAGAATACCCCTAATTTCAGTTAAAAAAAAAAACAATGCCATCCACAGGCTGCTGAAACTGGAACCTGGGGCTTGACTCTTCTCTTCATCTACCTATGTCCAATCAATACTTACTGATTCTTCATCCAAACTGTACTCAAATCCATCCACATCTCCCTATTCCCAGTGACTACGCTAGTCCAACTCATACCATCTCAACCATTAAAACAGCCTCTGAACATTCTTTCTGACTGCTACACAATTACCTGAGTAGATTCTATAAATGTAAATCTACCTGGTGACATGACCTTCCCAGACCTTTCCTTTAGGATAAAGTTCAACTCCTTACCAGAGTTTACTGGGCTCTTTGTATCTTTGCGATCTGATCTTACCTCTTACCCTTGCCCTGTTCCTACTCAAGCCATGGCCAGCCATACTCAAGTGGTTCAGTCCTCAGAATGCACAGAGCTCTGTTATAGGGAAAACACTCTTCTTTCCAGTCAACTCTTTCTCATTGTTTGAAACACAGCTTAAATACTTTCCCCTCAGGAAAGCCTTCCTTTACTCCTGAGATTGAGATAGATGCCCATGTTATTTAGTGTCCTCTATTTCCCCTTCTGTTACAAATATCACAATCTGTTCATCTTCCTCTCTCACATCGGATCACCTTGATAGTGATTATGTTTCTCCTGTTGATTAAAGTGTCCCCAAGAGCCAACAAAAGGGCTGGCACATAACAGATACTAAATAAATATACCTTGAATTGAATTCCCTGGGCTTCTTTATTTACATTTTCTTTATTTTTCTTTCTTTACCCCACTTGGGACATAGTTGCCAACACTGCCTAGCAGAAGTAGTATGTTGTGTGAGTGTGTGTTTCTATCTGCTGGCCAGAAAGGTAATAGAGTTAAGATATGCTAAAGATCCCTAATAGCTTGTAAAACCAGCAATGCCATTCAAGAATCATGAGCTTTCACTGGGACTAAGTATTAATAAAAGGCTGAGTAGAATTTTAACGGCATAGATGAAAAAAAAAATGTCACCTGCCAAGGTTGACAACTTAAAACCAAGTAGAATAGTTATCTTTTTTTAAAGAGTAAACCATTTAAATTTTATGCAAAAGGATTTTTAAAGACATAGAATTAAAATAATCTTCCCCCTCCCCACTTCCAATGAAGATTGCCTTACAGTTCAGGGTCTTTCCTTTGGGTATAGCTAAGGGATGAGTCACTCACATGGTGCCAGTTCTCAGTGAGAAAAGAGAGCATCTCTAGGTATAGTTTTCTTCCTTTCTCTAAAAAGCCAGTTACAATAGAATTTCCATCGTTGACCGCCTCCCTACTTGACCACCTCCTTAATTTTCATAGACCGGACATGCACCACATGTGTGTATCAGTACAGTAGGCCTAGTTCCTTTTGCTAACCACCTCCATTTGTTGACCAGTTTGTGACAGTCCCTTAGGTGGTTGACTTACAGAAGTTTTACTATTCTTAGGTAATCTAGAAAGGCATGATCTTCCCTGCTGCTCACTGCTGTCTGGAAAATCCTAGTATAAATACTGTTTCCAAATGAAACCATCAAGTTGAACTTACCCTCTACTGCAGATTATTTCTAGGGCTTCCAAGTTCCCATGGTAGGCTGCCAGGAGGGTGGGGGTCATACCATCTTCATCAGAAAGATTTAGATCTCGCTTGGTAGCCTCTTTCAGAAGTTCCAGGTAGCTATCACTAGCAGCTTGGTGGTAGCGAGTAGACATGTTTTTTTCTTTGCTCACCACAGCTTGGCCAGATACCTCGCTTCACACAGAGAAGGATATTGACTAGACAGCCTTCCTATTAAAGCAGGTTAATCAGTGACAAGGAAGAGTGTCACCAAGGGCAAAGCTCATTCCACCCTCCTTTCATGGAAGGCAGCCAGACAGGTACAAGGCAATGAACTTGGACCTTTTCTCTCTGGAATGGCCTTGACATTGACTATTAATATCTACTATATTCATTTTGAGTGTTTTGAGGCACATTTACCCTTTACTATGTCCATTAACAAGTCTTGAATGTAATATTGGTCATCAAGGCACAGAATGTAGGAAATAATTTCCCCAGAAGTCAGAACTAGTTTAGTTCACTGAGAGGCATTTAAAAAAATAATAACTTTGAGATATAATTTGTATACCACTCAATTTACCCATTTTAAGTATACATTCACAGAGTTGTACATCTATTATTATTATTATCCTATTTCAGGATATTTCTAAAAAAAAAAACCTTTCATGCTCCCCTTCTCACTCCCAACCCCAGGAAATCACAAATTTGCTGTTAGATAGATTTGTTGTTTATGAGCACTCCATGTTGATGGGATCATACTATATATAGTCTTTTGTGTTTAGTTTTTTTCAGCCCACATAATTTTTGAGTTTTATACATGTTGTACCACATAATAATTCCTCTGTTCCTTTTTATTGCTGAATATTCCACTGTACTAATATATCAAATGTTCTTTATCCATTCAATGGTTGATGAACATTGGAATTGCTTCCATTTTTAGCAATTATAAATAAAGCTGCTACGAACATTCACATATAAGTTTCTGTGTAAACATATTTTTATGTTTCCTGGATACATACCAAGGCATGGAGTTGCTGAGTTATATGGCAATTTATATTTAACTTTAAGAAATTGCTGGGTGGTGCCTGTGGCTCAGGGAGTAGGGCATTGGCCCCATATGCTGAGGGTGTAGGGTTCAAGCCCTGGCCCCAGCCAAACTGCAGGGGAAAAAAAAAAAGAAAAGAAAAGAAATTGCTAAACTGTTTTCCAAAGTGGCTATACCATTTCACATTCCTGCCAACAATGTATGAGGGTTCTAATTTCTCCACATCCTTACTAGCCCTTGTTAATATCTGTTTTTTTGTTTATGGCCATCCTAGTGGTTTTAAGATGGCGTTATTATAGTTTTAATTTGCATTTCCCTAGCGATAAATAATACTGAGCACCTTTTCCTCTGCTTATCAACTATTCCTGCATCTTTTGTTCAAATCTTTTGCTCCTTTTTATTGGTTTTTCTTTTTTATAAGAATTCTTTATATATTCTATACATAAGTCCAGATAACAAACAAAATATGTTATCAAATGTTGTTTCATTTCATATCAAACATATTTTGAAATGAAATGAAACAACATATCAAAATGTATAGGGTGCAGTTAAAACAGATTTGAGAGAAATTTATAGGTTTTTAATGCATATATTTTTTAAATATCCAAATAAATAAAACACCACCTTAATAAAGGGAGGAAAAGCATACAGAAACCAGTGTAAATAAAGAAGACAATGTAGACGCAAAAAAAAAAAAAATCCTAATTTATCTGAATCAAAATAAATAAATAAATAAATGGACAAAATTCACCATTTAGAAGACTCAGCCATGTCTTGTTTACAATAGACACATCTAAAGTATAAAATTGGAGACAGAGCAAGAAATGGAAAAGTTATATTAAGCAAATATTAGCAAAAATGGGGGGTAGGTATACATAGTCACTGGCTTAGGACAGTTTGACTTACCATTTTATCATTTTTTAACTTTATAATAGTGTGAAAGTGAATGAATTCAGTGTAATCCTTGGCTTACAGTGGTATTCATATATTTTCAACTTACAATGGGTTTATCTAGACATAACCCCATTGTAGGTTGAGGAGCACCAATAAAAAATGAACAATAATGTCAGGCAAAATACTATATTTTGGGCCAAAAAATATCACTAGGAATAAAGAGAGAATACAGAATGACAAAAAGAACAATTAATCAAGAAAATATTATAGTCCTAAATTTATATTAATATATACCTAATAGCATAGCCCTAAAGGAAAAAAAAAAGAACAAATCCACAATCATAGTGGGAAATTTTAACACACCCTCTGAATGTTATTATCAGAGTAAAGATTAGCATAGATATAAAAGCCTGAACACAATTAACTGCTTGACCTAATAGTCACATAGAACTCTGCACTCAATAGAAAATGTACATTGTTTTTAAACACAGAGAGGGTATTTGTAGAAGCTGACCACTGAATAGAACCAGCACAGCTCTCAACAAATACCAGATAAAAGGGTTAACACAATCCATGATGTCTGAAGATAACTGCAAGAACATTAGAAACCATAACCCTTATACAACTGATTAGCTGTACATATATTCTCTTGTGGTATATATTTTATAACACTTTCATCAAATACATTCATAATGTCTTTTTCTCTCTCTAATCCACCACATCTTCCCATACCATTACAAAGTCTTTTAGATAACATTCCTCTAACTTAGTATGAGGAAAGTCTATTTTTGAAGTCTCTGTTTATTCCTCTCATCTTTTTGTCCAAGTCTTTATTCCAAGATAAATTATTTGCTCAGCTCATCTGCAGCTTCCTCATTATCATAATTAGCTCCAAGGGTCACTGTGTGTTTCTTTTTCTGGTTTCTGTGTGAACAGCAATAGAAACTGTAGAAACAGCCTGAAGGATAACATTATTTGACTATTTAAAAAAGAAGAAGAAAGGTTTTAGCTCACAGAGAGTGACTTAGCCAAACACGATTGTGGATACTTTGAAAAAGGTAAGGTTGTTCCTCAGTTCATTTTTGCATGAACAACTTTAATTTAGACATAAGTGCATTCATTCATGCACACTGAATAGAAAAATATACATAACCTGAAAGAGGGCTTCTTAAAGATTGATTACCGGTAGTAGAATCCTAAGACTTCATCCAAAGAGTTTGCTTTCAGAAGAAGATGACAATGACGATGAGGAAGAGAAGGATGAAGATGAGGATGGAGGGAAAGGATAAGGAAGACAGAGCAATTACAGAGAGACAAAGAACTGGAGATGAAAGACAAGGAAGAGAAAGAAAAGCTTCTAGACGCCAGCAATACTTAGAACTCGGACTCTCCTGTGGAATGCTAAAACATCTGAACTTTTTTCAAATAATAAAGATCCTGGCACTTCTGGCATTTCCCTGCAAAAACATCTTCCTTGGGAGAAGAATGGTGGGGAGGGGGTAAAAAAAGCAAAAGAAAATCCTCCTGAACCTTAAGATCCCTCCTGAGTCCTTCAAGGTGAAACTGAGTGTTGAACCTACAGCTGAAAACCTGGAGTCCATATGATCTGGGGAAAGTTATCACATCTATTTGAGTCTCCAATTCTTTGCAGTCTTAGTGATTGCAATATCATCAACTAATTTAGTGTAGTAAAGATGAAATAAAATTCCTTATGAGCTATAAAGTATTTTCTTTGGGGGGGGGTTTATTTGTTTGTTTTTTGTTTTTGTTTTTGTTTTTGTAGAGACAGAGTTTCATTTTATTGCCCTCCATATAGTGCCATGGCATCACACAACTCACAGCAACCTCCAACTCCTAGGCCCAGGCAATTCTTTCACCTCAGCCTCCCAAGTAGCTGGGACAGGTGCCCACCATGATGCCCAGCTATTTTTTGTTGCAATTTTGCCAGGGCTGGGTTTGAACCTGCCACCCTAGGTATATGGGGCCGGCGCCCTACCCACTGAGCCACAGGAACTGCCCCTATAAAGTATGTTTTTAAAAACTGGATGTAGTTTGGTTATGGCTTAGGGAGGGAGAGAAAGAGAGAATTTTAACTCAGTTATTGGTCTCTTTCCTAACTCTTCAAAGCCCATTGTGTAGACACTAACTCCTTGCAAGGAACCATAGTAATTTAGGGGCAATTATGAAGTTAGGCTGTATATTTTGATCACATTGTTCTTGTGAAGTTAAGCATTTGAATCTGTTCCAACAGTATGCTGCTGGACTCTTGGAAGGCAAAAAAGAATATTTGCCACTACACAGTGGAGAGACTCTGAGGGATTAGACCTGAGTGGCAATGTCCCTTCTTTTCTTCTCCCTGAGCAAAGGAATGCAGAACTCTGCTTTACAGATAATCAGGGGCATAGATGAATTCTTCATCCAAATGCTGCTTCCTCTTGGCTGGGATTGATCTCAAGTCAAGAGCTTCATGCCTTTCCTGTTGGAAACTCACCCTGCCCAGCACCTTCCTACACTCCTGCAATACTAGTATAACTCAACTTAGAGGAACATCCTGCTAGTGACTTCTGCATCCACCTGTTACTTAGGTTTAGAGAGATAGGTTTTATTTTGTCCTTTGTTTTCCAACAACTCTAGAAACTCAACCTATTATCTGGAACTCTAAGCATTTAACTATATCACTTTTTGAAGCCTTTCTATCCAGATACCACTCATTTTTGCCAACGACCCAGAGAAAACAGAGTTAATAAGTCCTCAGGGGTAGCACCTGGAGAGATTCTCCCACCAATGGGTCCCCACCTACCAGAGTGATGACACTGTCAACTTCTCATTGTTGTGTTTATGATTTTGCAGCCTTTTCCAACACAACAGAGGCTACCTAAAACTAGGAGATCTAAATAGGTGTTCCATCTACCATGGGGTCCAATCCTGGCCAAGATGAAGAATTTGCCCTAGGACTTTGACTACTATAAAGCAAAGTGCTGTGTATTCCTTTGCTCAGGGACAGGAAAAGAAGGGGCCAAGATTAGTGCTGGTGGATACTTCTAGTCTACCCCCAAGAACAACACTAACAAAGAACAAACCAAATTTCTCATTGTTCTAAGAAATCACTCACTGCTAATTGGGAAAGAAATTTCAACAGCTTGTGCAGCCGAGAAACACATACTTTGGGTAATGAGACTGCCCTCTGTGTCCTAAGAGATCATATTTCAAAGGCAGAATGTGTTTGATCTCTAAAGCTATTCATGTCTAATT